TGAGAGCTGGGTTCGAGCTGAATGAAACTTAAGTGGACGGGGTATATCCTCTTAAAATTACATTCCATTAGCTTCTCAGGTGCTTGAGTTATCAATTTACACGAAAAAAATTTTGGCGGGCCCGTATGTGGGTCCCACGCTCACCCGGGGGTGGGTTTGAGCCCACTAATACCCACTTGGACGGGAACATCATCCTAAGATTTCAGCCTTCTAGCTTCTCAGATCCACGAGTTATGAACTTACCCGAAAAAAATTTCGGCGGGCTCGTACGCGGGTACCACGCTTATCCGAGGACTGGGTTTGAGCCCACTAATACCTGCATGGGCGGGGAACATTAACCCCAAGATTTCAGCCTTCTAGCTTCTTAGATCCTTGAGTTATGAACTTACCCGAAAAAAACTTCGGCGGGCTCGTACGCGAGTACCACGCGGGTTTTGGCGCCCATTTTGGGGATTGGGACCGGCATGTGCATGTAGATCAAGTTCCCGAAATTTCAGCCACGCAGCTTTTATAGGTCCTGAGATAAAAGTGCGTGACAGGCGCACACACAGACAACGTTTGGCCAATATGCGTTTTTCGCATTGCGTTGCTGCAAAAAACGCATAAAAAAAGAGATGAACAACTTCCATAAAGTTGTTCCTTAGCAAACCTTGTATTTCGCAACTGTATCATTGAAATCTTTGCTTGATAAACCTCTATGTTCTAGCATCTGGGCACGCAAGCACCGACGAAACGGGCTACCAGTCTGAAACAGCAGCTGTTTGTCACTTACCACCGAGATACACAAACACGCTTGTATTTCATGTGTGCTGATAAGCAAAATTGTGGAGTGATCCAATTTTTTTCGAGGTGAAAATAACATTTTTAATATTTTTCAAAACAAATTTTCGAATCCTTTCTCTGTTTAAAACGAAATCTAAAAATACATTTGTCACCGAAGAGAGAATTAAACTCGTCATCACCATCACAACCTAGAACTTCTTCCGCAGTGCAAAACCACTTAAAACAGAAGGACAACTGGTTATTTTTAATTTTTGCACAATTCCGGACCAGTTTTGTGGCCTGTCATCCAGTTAACCTTTCTAAAAGACGAATTTTCAACCCGCAGCAAACTGGACGATATTCGCAAAACTTGTTTTTGCAGCTTATGACGTTTTGTCTATACTTTATTGTGAGAGCACGCTCTAAATTGTGAAATTAAGCTCTGCAAGTTCCCCTCGAGTTCAGTTTAGATTGTAGCAGGCTCTACAGTAGTGGTGCAACCACGAGAAAAACGGGTGTGTAACCACATTTTAAGACCGTCAGCAGGGAAAGGGAAAACAGGAGGAAAGTGGGGTATAAAATAAAAATTGAGCGAAGGAAATAAGATTGGCCGAAATGCATGTAGAATTCGAAAAGGCGGACAAAAAACTGGCTACAAAAGCTTTAGACTGCTCTGATTAATGATTGTTTGCACAAAAAAGCAAATAAATTGATGGAAAGAAAAAGGCAGAAACCTAATTCTGTGCCAACAGATTTGCGGAAACAGGGCTCAAAATACTGAAAAAAAATGTCATTTTTGCTGGGAATCTTTTTTAGATAGAATTCAGATAAATTTAAGGAACTCGGTTTTCTTTCCCGCAGAGGAGAAAGGAAAACGCACGGAAAGAGGACAGGGGCACTCGCAACTCAAAATTTTCCCCGAATTTTGCACGATGAGTTCAGGCACACTCCTACACATCAACAGCATTTGTAACTACGAAGCTCCGATTTGGTGCTCTTTACAGGGTTTCTTAGCTCCCGATTTGTAGCAATAGCCCTACTTTTGGCCTAGCATAGGTTGGAACACAGCACGACGCGAAATTGATTTTAGCTTCTGGCCTCGTACGCATTCGGGAGTATTTCCCTAAATTTCAGTATCTGTTCATGAGCTGAATTTTGCGGACAAGCAGGTGGGCACAGAAACACACATACAAACACATACGACATATGCACATTCAGATGCACTCACGTGAACACGTTTGCAACCAAACACTGTCTCGTTATAATGCACTTTTACGTGAAAACGGTTGTGTAAAAAATGCATGACCATTCAATTCTTTTTTAAAAGGTACCTGAGCAACTAATCCTCCTCTTCATTTCGTTCTTTCTATTCAGTGGCACATTACTACTGGAATGTGTTAGGAAATCAAGCCCACCATCAACTTCCGTCTGTGCAACTCACAGAAAAAGAGGTCGTTAGCAGCCTTGTCAGAGAATAGTTGTTGCAGGCGCGTACTGCAGTCTGTGCTACTTTCCAACCGCGCGCTCCTCTCAAACAGTGCAAGTACGGGAAGAGTCGTAACTCTAGAGTGACTTTTGCCAATCCAAAAACAGTTAATTGTAGTACATAATCATATCTGATATCGATGGTGTGAACAGGAATTGGTAACCATCCTTTTGGCCACGTCGGTTCATCATTTTCGCTTGGATAATGTTTCCCGGCAATTCCATGCGAGAACATTCCCACGAGAAGTGCCATCGCACTGGTCAGTGTTCTGTTCACATCCGTACTTCGTACATAAATCTACAAACGACGGCGTTGTAAAGCACTTGCTTACGCTTCTACGCCTAGACCATGGTTAGCTATTTTAGCGACCCAGTTTCAATCCCAATTAATACTCAAAGATGTAAGCAACTAAAACTGAATTTAATGGGCAGAAACACTTCCGTAACACTGGAGGATTATTTCAAAAGTTCCGCGTGCATCGATGGTGAAGAATGTAATTTTATCACCTCACGATGACTGTAATTTTTGGAGAGGAATGGTGGTGTGCAGTTGACGTATTGATTGTGCAAGCGTTTTCCAAGTTTTACTAACTGTCGCATTCCAATCTGCAAAAAAAAAAAAGATAAAAAGTGTGAACATTTTTCCAAACGCATTTTTTTGTTTCTGAGTGACATTGAAGCTCAGTACTAATAATTTTTAAAAATCTTGATGGATACACTAACTAGAAAGATGGGCATTTCATCCATCCATCCATCCAGAATCTCCCTGTCTGAATTTCACTTTCTTTTCACTGCAATTTGTCGCCGCTTACTTGCACACGCTAATACCATTTTGCTCAAAGTTTAACATGGGGTTGTTTCTAGACCATGAAGTCATCAATCCTAGTGACGTTGGCAATTTGAGAAAAAGCTTGCACTAACCTCGGTAAGTTCCCCAAGCCCGTTTGGCCATGTTGATTCCTGATAAGGGTCTGCCGGATAGATCAACAGTGGTCCTCGATCACCGTGTCGCCACAGCTGCAACAAATAAAGTTATTTTTTATCTCAACAATTTTTTTTTTCGTGAAAAATCAGTTCAAGAGAGTGAAGAACCAGAAAGTAAGAAAATGTGATAGGACCCTCTCATTTTAGAAAGCACAGCTAAGCTTTCTTTTTACAACAGTCACTGTAGATTTCGTATTTTTCACTCCCCTGTTTTTCTTTCACAAATTTCCGACCCAGCGTTTTACCGGAGTGTGGAGTTTGCAGCATATCAAGTTATGTGCAAAGCCAGACAGCTCCAGACAGGCCAAGAAAACACCGCACTGCATTTGCCTAAAACTGCGTTGTACAGGCAACTAACTACCAAATGGTTCTTCCAGAAACATCATGCAGTTGTGCGCGGAATGCAGTATGGGCTAGGCGCGAAGGTATATGATGAAAGCACAACACAGTAAGGCGAATATTAGATAAACTAAAATACGGCTAGGAGAAACTGGTGTATCTTTACTTTCCGAGAACTGCAAAACGAAGCACTTTCTTCTTCAAAAACCAATCGCTTTTTAACACTTCCGTCACTGTGTTACCAAACCTTGAAATCCTTTTTGTATTCATTCGCTTTAGCATGCAGAGGCGCCCGAAATAGCTCCGGAATAGCAATTGCCAATACCAATTACCCGTACGCAAAGCTGTCGATAGTTCAGTCTTTCGAGGACTGGTTACAAACAAACTGAGCGTAGTTGCTGTGTTATATTATGTTTAAACTTTTATCAATAAAATGTCTAAACTGACGTTTGGACATTCAAAAAGACGTTTTTCGAACCACTTTCTTTAAAATAGGTGGCGAAAGCGCCAAAGAAGCAACATAACCTTATGTGTTGTGTGACAGTTCACTGTAAGCGCAAAGTGGCTGAGTGCGACAAAAAATACGGAGATGTTTTCTTCGACATAACGGTTTTCCGAATTACTTGCCGGATGATGGTATGCAGTCCAGACGAAAGTAAAAACAGAGTTATTGTGTAAATGCACTGGCATGAAGCTAAGTTTTTGGTCAAATCGCTCTCATCCATTGCGTCATGATGGCATAAAAGTTGGCTCACCATTTTTGGGCCTTTCCAAAACTACTGCAAGTTTGTAGTTTTTTGCTTTTGGGGTTGTAAAATTAGAACGAATTTTTACAGCTGCAATCGAAGTATGATGCTGGTTAGCACCAGTCATCACTGCATACAGAATATTGTTCTTTGGCACCACATTAAGCCAAAATCTCTTTCAAAAGTAGTATAGACAAGTGATTTGCTAGCGCAGCAACGCCGAATAAAAATATTGGTGTTGTCGAAGACTAAGTGTTTTACTTTGCATGTAAGCTGAGATTACTGAAAACGTAACTGATCTTTAGAGCTTAGTATTTCGTTCCTGATCAGAGTGAACTTTTTCTCCTGCGTGCGTATGTGGAATTCGGCAGGTTAAAAATATTATGTAATTGTTAACCAAAAAAGAGGAATTTGTCACAGTAATTCTTAAAAAAAGGGTTTGTGTTTTCATGCCGCTTTAGGATCTCTGGGCTAGGAGTTTAATTTTCTGCTTAGAGCTGCACTGAGCATTGTAATCCCTCAGAAATGGTTTTTTAAGAAAACTAACAACATGAGCAAAAAGAAGCTCTGCTATGGTTGTTTCTGGATCATCAGAAAGAGATGTCGGAGCAGCGCCTAGAGTACTTTTAGCCGCACTTGAAGTCGCATACTCTATTGAATTAGACATGTTCCCGATTTCCGTTTCATTAAATGACCGGATAATAGCATCAGAATCCAAAATTTCGTATGCTGCATTGCGTCTGGCAGCGACGGCCAAAAAGAATACGACTATCATTGTGCACTTGGACAGTTTTTGGAACCCTGAAAAACACTAGAAAATCTGCATAACTAACTAAATCTGGAGCGTAGTCAATATCAGGAGAGCACAGTACCTTCTCTTTTTTCTTTCCTCTGCAACCTGCCTCCCACAATTCCGAAAAATCACCTCGTCATGGTGTGGAAATAGCGATTATTCGGAGTATAAATTTACCTGGTGTAGAAGCACAGCGCAGTATAAACTTTTGCAACTGTAAGCAACTCAGAAAACAGTGCCGCATTTTGCCCAGCTAAGCTGACTCTACGGTCATTGCGAGCTTGAAGAGCGAGCGAAAATGTAATAACGACCATGCAGCTATAAAAAATTATGCGGTATGAGACGAACGCTGACTGTCACGAAACCCAGGCTGGAACGCACCAGGCTTGCCGGTACAATCACGTGTTTTTGCATCATACTCGCAGGTCGCTAACAGCAGGAATGATCCCTGCGCTGCAGCCTAACACTTGGGCTCATATTGGCCGTGCTTTAGCCCTTTTCAATATGCAGGAGGAAGGGTGTCGATTAGGATGAAGGTGGTGCGTTATAGGGCCGCACGGACCTCCAGGCACACGATTATCGGTTTTTTGCATGAAGCGCAGTCTTTTTCTCGGTAAATGCTCGCCTTTTGAAAAAATGAAAAATGCAAATTTCTCGAAAAAATGCAAATTTCCAGTTCACTAAAAGTGAAAGTGTTGCTAGGTCGGTCGTTTGTTTAAACCCAGGCTTGAACGCACCAGGCAAGCCGGTGCGATCATGGGTTTTTGCACCAAACTTGAATTAGGTAAACTGCATGAACAGTTGTTTCTTCACACCTACCTTGTGCGCTCAATACCGTAAATCATCGTAAATTTTGCATAAAAGGAAATAAATAATTTCCGCTTAGCGGCTGTTTTTGTGCGTTTTTGCATATATGTAAATTGCAAAAATGCATATTGGGAAGAGGCTGCCTGTGTGTGTGCGTGTGTGTGTGTGCGTGTGTGTGTC